GTGTAGCTCATAGATACGGTAAGCATACGGTAAGCGGATAAGATCTGAAATCTTCTTGCAACTTCTTAAAAATTCCCTAGAAAGGCCAAGTACTCCTGAAACCTTACACAAGGGGTTGCTGCATGCTTAAAGTACTGGTCTTATTGAGTATAGAGCCGCTTCTTTTGTGAGATACGGTAAGCATACGGTAAGTGGACAAGATCTCCTAATTTTCTGGAAGATTCCCTATAGACAGATCCCAAAGAATGAGAATGCTGGGAGATGCATTGTGTCACTGTGTGTGGCCTGGCAAGCAGAGACTCAAACATTCACCATAATCAGGTGTCTTGTGTAATTCGTTTGTTGTCCATGCAGATAGATCTAATTGTAAGAAAAATTTTCTTCTATATCCCCTACGGCAGCTCGAAAAGGAAAAGATTTTGAAAAAAAGTTTTTAACATGCGATTAGTCCACTCTAACAGGACTAAAAAGCCAAAAGCATTCGCACAGCATCCGCAGTCCGGCTCGACTAACCCTTGGTCGAGCGCCAACCTCAGCGATACGCCGTTCGGCACCGCCACGTTTCACAAACGGTCGCCAGTCAAATCGTGATGTCAGCGCACGACGAGTGGGATTCTAGAAGAGAGGTTGTGCAATTACGTACTTTACAAAACTTTATAATCATCAAAAATCACCTGGATAGCATCGATAGTGGTCTTCATTTTGAGAATGCTCGTTTCTCCATGAGCCGGATGGGTTTGACTATCGAGGAGTGATGTCATACCAGCATGGGTTACCGAGAATCCATCATCCATGTAGATGATACGAGAAGGCGTGTTAGCTGGAAGATTATCCATCAAAAAAGGGGGAGGGGGAGGTACAAGCGAAAACTGGTCCCCCAGGGCATTTATTTGCATAGGCTTTGAAGAACAAAAAAGCATTGTAAGCAGCTATAGTTGAAAAGATTTGACGATGAAAGTTGAACGTCGCGAGCGTGGAGTTACAAGCGAAAACTGGTACCCAATCTCTATCACAATTTTGTCTACTAAGAATTAAGAGAGAAAAAAGCATTGCAGGCAGCGATGCAGACGAGAGCCAGTTCACACTACAGTTTTGAAACAAATGAATGACAAGAAAAGCGGCTTGAGCAATGTACAGGCGAAAACTGGTCCCTAGAGCAGTTTTTAGACAAAGACTCTGAAAATAAAAAAAGCATTGC